ATTCAACTGTGAACCTAAAAATATTTTCAGCCATTTGTTGAAAGAGATGTACTGTTGCTCTAGAGTGTGTTTACTGACTATGTTAAAGCTGTAATGCAATGTTTCTTCTAATCATGTAGTTATTAAAAATTTAAAAAATAATAATGATTAAAAATTTGTATAAAATTTAAGATTGTATAAAATCTAAGATTTCAAAATAAAGCTTTACTGGGACACCAAAAAAAAATTATGTAAGAATCCAAGAAGAAGCACACATTTCACAATTGTATGTGTTCTCTTACCCTGTACATTGTAAAGTCGGACAGTATGAATAACATGCTCAAAGAAGGAGGTCACTTCTGAATAGATCCTTCCACGAGTCACTCTGACAAAGGGCGGCTTTAGGGAAACATATGGCTGAAAAGGAAACAACATTTTCAATCAAAACACTTTGACATCTAAACCTTCCCCCAAATTGTTGATGACTGTCTGTAAAATAGCAAATCCATATCATCCAATATTTACAGCTTTACACAAAAACCTTATTACTTCAGAATATGCAGGATACAAGTATCAAATATAAGGAAAGGTGTTTTTTTTTTTGTTGTTGTTGTTGTTATAAAGATTATAAAGCCTAGCCAGGTGCAGGGCACACAACTTTACCCCCAGTACTTGGGAGGCAGAGGCAGGTGCATCTCTGTGATACTGAGGCCATTCTGGTCTCCATAGTGAGTTCAAGGCCATCTGGGGCTACAGGGAGATCCTATGAAAAAACAGACAAACAAAAAAACATAAAGTCTGTATTTTCAAAATGCTTACTATGACTATTTGACTGGTCTTACAGGATCTACAAATATTCTCCTCACCTACAGAAGTTTCTAATTAAAATTCTTCTGTATTGCCTACAGAGTTATTTATTAGAACTGAAACATTCTAAATAGTGACATTTTTTTCCAAGTCAGCATGTATGACCCCAGGTTCCCCTGATAGCCAGAACCCAGGGCAAATGGTAAAGGGGGGAACAGGGGGCCAAGTATGCGAAGAGGATGCAGGATTCAGAGTGAGTTTAGCCATAATGGGGATCATTGAGTTCAGAAGCATTGCACTCTCTTATAGGAAAGACCTGATAGAAAGCAGACTCACAAACTTGAGAGAAAAAAAAAAAATTGCTGCCTGGAAACCACTGGGTTAGTTTTCATTATTTAGAATCTAAATTCAAGAAAATATGGGAATAAAGCACACAAATTATGTGACCTGAGAACAAACTTAAAGCATTTATTTATGTACTAGATATCTTAGCTCAACATGAGCATGGAAAGCGAGGTGCCGACGTGGAACACTCAAGCAGTTTGAGATCCTTGGAATGTGTAATCTGGCGTCAAACTCATCTCTTTGTTCAGAGATAAACATACTAAAGTCAATAAACTATATGACACTTTACAAAGCTCTTCTCCCTAATTATTACACACCTAGAAACGGAGTGTGGGGATAGTAATCAGGTAGAGGTTTCTGCCTACTACTTTCTTCAGATAGAATCTGCTGTGTCGTCTCCTTCCCTGATATTACAATACTGACAATTTTCATATATATTAATATGACACATAATATGACATTTTACCCTTCCATCTAACATTAGAGATATTTAAAGATAAAAATACTTTAATTACTATTATCCACACATAATAACCCATAGGCATAGCAGTATACACCTATAATCCCAGTGCTTGAGAAATTAAGACAGGTAGATTGTGTGTTTTGAGGTCAGCCTGGGCTACATACATACCAGACCCAGTCTTGGTCTCAAAAAAAGAAAAAGAAAAAAACCAAATCGAAACAAATACCCCAACCAGTAACTATCCAATGACAAAAGCTATTAAGTGAGACACATTCCAACAGCTGATGAGTAAGATTCTCTACCCATTCTGGAATGGCTCCTGTAAGCTGAAACTTACCCATAATTCTTCATTGAGTTAAAAAACACAAACAAATAAATAGTGCACCCTAAAGTGTTTAGGGTGGCCTCTGCAATCCCTAAAAAAACAATAATTTTATCCAGCAGGTTCTCTAAATTGTAGAAGAAATATAACTTTCTCAAAAGATTAGCCCTCAGGTAACAAAATATTAAGGAAAATACTTGACTCATCTTGAGGTAGGGAAAACTTACAAAGGCATAAAAGCAATGAGGAAGAGAATTAATAGAGGCAGCGCTCTTAATAGGATGACTTTTCAGTGCCCGAAATGGTGTACTGGAAAGTTCTTTAAAAACACTGGTGGGAATGAGCATCTGCATAGTCTTTCTAGGGGTAAAATAAACAATATGCATCAAAAAGCCTTCAGAGGCTTTCTTCATACACCACACAAAATGCCTCTTCTAGACAGTTATTCTCAGGAAATAACCAGAACTACATAAAAAGAAGCTACAAAGAGAATTTATTACAATGCCACTTGTAAGAAATTGGGGCAAAGTCGACATGTAACATCAGGAAATTCTGAAACACAGAGTGTGTATGAAAATTGTGCTTCCAAAAACATGCTGTTAGATTGTGTTACAAATGAAAAACAAAATATGTACAGGCCGTAAGACACAACTGTGAATGGAGGGGTGGATGTGCCTAAAATAAAAGACAATAAAAGCACATCCCAATGTTGGTGGTGACTTTAAGGCGGCTAGAGACAAGGGTAAATTCCACTGTTTTCCTCACAGTTTGCTACATTTTCAAAAGTGCCAGAATTTGCATGCACTTGATTTATAGCCAAGGTTGGAAAAAACTGTTTATTAAATTCCTAAAAGCTATGGAGAAATGACCCGGTGAACACTATATTTCCCACAGGCCTAGGTACTTTGTGTCTCTATATCCACCACATTGCATGAGTAGAAAACACATTCTCACATCACCCTAATCCTGAGCCAAGTCTAGAAGTCTCACTTCTTTGCTGCAGAGCATTCACTGGTTGGATCTTCCTCATTGAATTCCACCTCTGACATATTATTTGTTCATTTAATTTTCAAGGACAAACTGCTAAGCTTCAATGAGGATACATATAATATTAGAGCCCAAAGTTGCTCTATCTCTAACACTTATACTGATGATACACTACTGAGATACGCTTATCTTTGACTTAGTACTCTTTCAATAAGCATGGACTCCACCTGCCTCTGTAGCACTGCTCACCTGGGCCTGCCCATCAGGCAGGAAGAGATAGGCCCCACTTTTGTCTCTTTTGTTTGTAGTTCCGTACCACGAAAACTGTACCTTTATTTCATGATGTTTACCATCTTCTTTAGCTCTCATTTTCTAAAGATTGAAAAATAAACAAAAAACAGCAATTCACTACTAAAATTTTAATGGATCAGGATAGGCTGGAAATGCTATGTAACTTGAAAGACTAGGGCAGAAGGATGCTGGGAGCTCAAGGCAAGCCTGGGCTTCATATTGAGTTCCAGGCAGGCTTTGGTTTCAAAGTAAAACCCTGTCTTAAAAAAAAAAAAAAATGTAAGCATAATCAAAATATTTGGTTGAATACCAAAATTTTAGTTAACATAGTTTTAAACCAACCTCACAATGGGAACAAAATTGGAATATACTTCAAGGAACAAAGAATTCTAGACTATGCTTCTCAGATTTTCTATAGAAGGGTTGTTGTTTTTTTCCTTTTCCTTTTGATTTCCAATAAATATGGGCCAGTATGTTTTAAAAGTACAATAAAAACAAATTAAAAATTAGAATTTAGGCCAGGTGTGGTGGCACAAACCTTTAATCCTAGCACTTGGGAGGCAGAGGCACATGGATCCCTTTGAGTTTGAGGCTAGCATGGTCTACATACCGAGTTCTAGGCCAGCTAAGGCTACAGGGAGACCTTGTCTCAAAAAGAGAAAAAAAAAATTGAATTTAAAGTGATAAAATGATATACCAAATATATACTTATTTTTTATTATATCCAATAGGTGTTTTATTCTGTTGAATTGCTTTCCAAAGCGCCAATAAACATTAGCAACTTTCACACTTATCTTACAGATAACCCACAGTCAAGGGAGCAGCCCCACTGCAGACCACACTGTGAGGAACCAGTGATCACAGAAGAGCTGCAGCAGCTCATCTATCCAGTCCCGGAGACTGTCTGGTGCAGTCCTCCATGGGAGGATGGACACTCCCCCTTGCAGTAATTGGCACACGTAGTAAACATGTTAAGTGTTCAGTGAATTTCAGAACTATTCAGAACGTACCTCCATGAGCCCAGATCCATCAAACCAAAGTGCAATGAAGGGGTTCTCGATAGCCATACCATCCGTTGCATCTGTCATGCTCTCCATGTGGAATACTCCTTTTTCTGCTATCCCATCATTATACAAGACATAATTGGCCAACTGTGAGCTTGAACTTTCTAATTGTAAAATTTTATACACTTTCAGTCCCAATGGTAGTGTATGTGCTAGAAAAGAAATCTTTAAAGATAGGGTAGGGGGTTTATTAAAGAGAAATGTTATCTCCTGAAGGTAAAACATTTATACTTTAAAGGTAAAAACATCAACCTAAAAATATTTAAAAGAAAGTCATAATACTATTCTAGAAATGTTTTGGTAGCTTGGTTAGGTTATCCATGTCCCAGTTTATCCAGGAAATCCAATCACTTCAGGCAGGTAGTCTTACTAAAGACATTAATGCTTGCATCACACATGTGAAATTATATGACCATCATGTATCCTGTATGTTCTACAGCGCTCTCATCAGACACACTGAGGAAGAAATTCTCTAAGACAGTAGGGATTTAATGTCAACAATGATGGGCCCCTCCAATAATCAAATCCTTTATTTAAAAGTAATTAAAAAGATAAGCCTGATCCCTGCCAGCCTGGAGATGTTCTGCTCTCTAAATGGGCTACTTCCCATAAGAGAACAAACTTGAACTCTACTTTCCCATTCTATCTGCAGGATTATAATCAGATAACAGGCACCAGCAATGGCTTCTGACAAGCATAAGTAACTCCTTCTTAGTTTTTTAGTGTATAATTGTGTCTCTAGAAAAGTTTAAGTCATGCTCCAAACTCTAAATGCTTCATGGTTCATGTTTCTAGTGATATGTGACTCACATAATACTGCTTATTCTAAGAACCGCCCCCACCCGTGTGTGTGTGTGTGTGTGTGTGTGTGTGTGTGTGTCTTTTTTGTCTTTTTTACAATGTTTCTAAGTTCCATGGCCACAGCATACCTCATAGGCTGTTTGTGAAATGGTCCTTGCATCGCTCCAGACTGCACTGACTTGAACCTCCACAGGTTTTCCTGAATCAGATAGCACCTGCACTGTGGGGGAACTCACGCAGATAGAGATCACTGAGTTCCGTTCTTGTTCTAAAGGATTATAGACCACAATGTACCTGCAAAAACAGCTCTGTCATTACTAGGATCTCAAAATATTTTTATTTCTCTCAGATTCTTCCTAAGGCCTCAGTTCCTAGATAGTCACAGAGCCAATACATGGGCAAAAATGAAAAGCAAATTCTGATAGAATCTTCAAAGAATGGCATTCCATCACAACAAATACCATACAGTACAACCCCTAAGAGAAGCATTTTCTAAAGACAATAGTCTATAAATGCTTCACATTAATATAGTTGTAATAAAACGTTGTCCATATCCCAAAAAATGACAGATAAATATCATCTTAGTCATCTACAAGATTCAATACTCTATAATGCCTTGATCCTTAGCTAATTTTTTTGAACAAAAAATATATAATTTGTTTGTTTGCAATGTAGGGACAATTAATTTCACCTGAAAATCTGACACTCATTTTAGATCACTAAAACACAGTAACGTGTATGACTATATATGCAAATCTCATAATCCACACATGTATTTTATACATAGGGGGTGCCTATGGTTTTGTTCAAGAAACTTGGCTCTGAGGGGAAAAAAAAATGTTTATTTAAACTGAACTCACTTGTAAGAAAGCCCAAAATTTTATGTTAAATACTAGTGGGAAAAAAGATTTGATGGAGACTCAGTCAGAAAAAGGAAAATGAATGCCATCAAAGTAACTTCTGTTGATACTTACAACAACATGTAACACTTAGTATGAAAAAAAAAAAATGAACTGAAGTTTTTGGCAGACTCTTTTTGATATTCTGCATGGCATATCTTGACGTCCTTCACACCACATCTAATTTTTACAGGGTGCTTTTTGTTTGTTTGTTTGTTTTTGGTCTTTTCTAGACAGGGTCTCCCTGTAGCCCCAGCTGTCCTCGAACTCACTATGTAGACTAGGCTGGCCTTGAACTCAGAGATCCATCTGCCTCTGCCTCCCAAGTGCTGGGATCAAAGGCGGACGCCACCAGGCCCGGCCCTACAGGGTGGTTTTAAAGATAAGTATTTCTAAAAGGTATTTAAAGTCTACATTGTTTTTCCTATGGGCGTCTCTCAGTTCTCTAATATTTAAACAATTCTCCACTGAAATACCCACCATCCTTGATTTTCTCACTATCCTGACTCCATCTGATACCGTTTCATGGTGTGAATAGAAATTATACTATCATGTGACAGACCTCAGGAAATCTGCATGATTTATGATCTTACATTACAGTTACTTTACATCATCTTATCTCCATTTAAATCAGAATTTCAAAAAGGAAGGGTGATTAATATTACTCATCGATTCATTGGTAAATATTTTTAAGATCTAAACTATTTTTTTCCTACAAAATCTGTAACTGCAGAAACACAAAATGAACAGTCAGGTAAGAGCCACCTTTCCCACTAATTCACAACAGCTGGAGAGTAGCAAGCTGGTATCCGTTTGTTGTGATACACCAGAAAGTCATCACATGTGTCTCCTGCATTTTTGTTTTCATACACATTACAAACCACTCATTAAGAAATACAATACTTATAATGACCAAAGTAGAACAAAGGACACAAGAGAGAACAAAAGAAAATAAAGATAGAACAGAAAATCTATAAACCATCTCATTTGTAAAGTGCACAGCAGGAGAAGCATCTACGGCTTAAATATTCTAACACACTGACGGTGACAATACAATCCTAAGAACGTCTCCAATCCCTTGGGCTTATACCACAATAAGAAGACCTAATTTGCACCCCTTGCATACATTGAGTCACTGGTGTTCCACATGCATGAAGGAGAGCAGGCAAGGAAGCCACCAGTCACAAACACCCTAACACTCAATAAAACCCCCCTTAGCCTGAGAAGCAATTTTTAAGCCGTCAACGTGGAGCCCTGGAAAGAGGTAGTCAGCAGACTTATCTGATAAATCTGACAACTTGTTTGCAGTCTCTCAATGCGCCCCCCCCCCAAAGATTATGTTTTCACCTGGCTTTTCTCTGATCACAAACATACATGGAGAAACACTGCTGCCAGGATTCTGTGTGACCGACAGGACTATGCTGTACCCCAATGTGTACTGAGGAAGAACAGCTGATGGTCACTCATTCTCTGCATCAAGGATGTTTACACCTGAACATCCAAAATAAATGCTTTGCTACTAAAGCTCATGGACCCCAGAGCCTTCCCAAGATAGCGTGTGAAGGTGTCTATAAACCTGGAGCACACCCAGGCACCTGACACTCACAAAGCCCAGATTATGGCAAGGGGTCAGGGTACCGAGCTACTGAACAGTCATGAAGGCTGTGATCCCGAAGTCTAAGCAACAGATTAGCTAATAAACTCCCACATCACTGATTTGTTCCCATAGAAAATTTTTTAAATAATTCACGCTTAGAGTTTTAAACATATATTTGGTTTTGTACCATATTAAATCACTTTTTACAGTAAGTTGTGAACTAGATTTTGTTTTATTTCATTTAAGTAGATAATTAGTATTTGACCATAATGATGTTTCTACTGTACTGAATGATTATATAATTTTCACGCCAAGAATCTATTCAAAAACTTAATGTGCAGAGTATTAATGAGCATAATGCTGTGCTAAGGAAATAATTTTTAACGTAATTAGAGATTCGCAGCATGCTGTTCAAGGGCATCACAATACAAATTTATCTGACATACATTCAAACTTCTATCTATGTACATTTTAAAGTAGAATACAGAGAAAGCATAATCACAAATTTAATCTTCTTAGAAATAGGTAGATCACTGAAAATTAACTAAATCCCATTGGCAGTACCATGCTTGGTGGTCAAACAGCCACCAAAGTTGCAGTGCCAATTACACCAAGCACGAGTTAGACCTTCAGGTGTAAATGGAATCAACAAGTTTCAGCATCATATTAGATTACCATTCACTCACTGAAAATTAACAGTACTTATCCATACTAACAAGACTATTGCTGATATTCTGAAAACAGAGAGGATTTGTTTCTATTTTATGTAGTTAGTACTTGAATGGGGAACTCAGCTTTTTCTATAACTTCTTTCCTCCAATTTCCTGCACATTAGGATTAGCTTCTCAGTTATTATCCGTCACCAAGTCATGTCTGGCTTCCTCATTCTCATTGTGACACCAGCCCCTGACAACTTGGTGTTATAGGCAATTATTTCAATTCTTTAGAAGGACAGCTCTCATCTCATGAAGAAAAAGCACTCATCTGTTACCTGTCAATCAAATGACAAAACAGGAGAATAATGTACTTCAGCAAGGAGAAAATAATGGAAGGACATTTGAATGCTCATGCCAATCTGGGAACTAATGGAAGAGCTGGAATTTAACTGTAAATGGGGGTCTGTCCTTGAAAAACATACTGAGAATGAGGATATTCAGAGTTCCTTCACCCTTTTTGAAAAAATAATTGACATCACGTTAAGAAAGACAACTGTGGCAATCACCGAGTCCTCTTTGGTGCAAACTGAATCAGGGCATAATACGATACAAATAATACACCAAGACCACACAGGTGTCTTCTGACAGATGAAAGATGGCATAGACGGAAGATGCCCTTGGCCAGTGGGACCTTGGGATCATCACGCAGGGTGCTTCTTATATCTAGGACAGTTGTTGAATTGTGTGGCAACCTGGAGGCACAGCCTTTCTTTCCCAGAGGGAACTAAGGTTCTGTAAGGTCAGGTACATCACCAAGACCTACCCAGCTAAAAGCACCACGACAGGGCTCAGAATTCTGTCTGAACCCTAGCATCAGCTTCTTAACTGCATTGCTCAATGTCAAGTATATTCAGATCTTTTTGACAGCTGGGCTTTCCTGTGGTGATTCCTATAGTCCTGAATGTATGTGAAGAACTTTCTCTTCCACTATACTAAGCACTCCCACTGAGACTCTCTCCTCAGGAAGCTCAGGATGAACAAAAAACTATTTACATTTCAAGTGTATTACATTTATGAAGAAAACTTATAAACGAAAGTGGCAGAACAAAAACCAAATCTTGCAATATATACCAAGAGGTTCATCTTCTGGTGGGTGCAGCAAGCCAAAGCAATATTTTAGGGAACATTAGGATTATATAAGGAAGATAAAAATGAGAAGTATTTCTCAAGTCTTCTGTAAAAACAAGGACCATGATAGACCCATTGCAAGTCACAGAGAAAGTGAGGAACAAGGCAAAGACTGGAGTTCACTTTGACAATTCTTAACCAGTGGCAGCACAGTGAAAATATATTCAGCTTCTCCAAGAAACCTCATCAGTGAAGCATAAGAAGAGAGCTCAGTATTCTGAATATGGAAATGCAGGGATCAATATGTTAAGAAACATGGGAGGAAAGATTATTGTTAAGTGTTAAACAAGAAAATTCTTAGAAAATGACCTAGCACAAAGTAGAGTCTGGATAATTACTCATTTCTCCCCTGTCACTTATGCTGTGGCCATGGTAGCCCACTCAAAGACCCCAGTATATCAGCACACCAGATGGAACAATGAGTGATTTAATGATCCCACCATATCACACTGCTACAACTCTTTATATTATGAGAAACATTGTCTAAACAAAAGAACTGAACCACAAGTGGGATCATACAGAAACCTTGAACCAAAGGTTCTTTCTCTAAGTAAGTTTTCTGTTGCTATGATAATTACCATGACCAAAAGCACCTTGGGGAGGAATGGGCTTATTTGGCTTAAAGCTCACAGTCCATCCTTGAGGGAAATCAAGACAGGAACTCAAGTCAGAAACTTGGAGGCAGGAGCTGAAGCAGAGACCATGGAGGAATGCTGTTTCACTGGCTTGCTTCCGCAATGATCCCCACCCCAAACACGATCAAGTCCATCACAGCAGTACCCCACCTCTGGTACCAATTTATGTTCCTTTTATTGTCAATACTGTGACAAATCATTAACCAAAACTGAGTTGGGGAGGAAAGGGTTATTTTCCCTTACAGACCATCATGGAGGGAAGCCAGGGCAGGAGCTCAAGACAAGAATCTTAGGGAAACATGGAATTGTAGGGGAAAGA